CCAGGTATCGTAGCGTCGGCTCTATTTCGAGCGCAGTGCCGACAACTGCCGGAACCAGCTGCCTTCTTTCTAGGGAATGCGATTTAAATAGGATTAGGTCAACGTCTCGCGTCCAACAAATATGTTCGTCTACTTTATTCGGTGACGCATCAATTGCAACGGAGTCAACTGGCGACGTGAACTTCGTTTTCAACTTGCTCGGCTTCTATCGCCATTCGTTTTGGCAAGATTGTTACTTCATATCGCGCCGGCTCGTTTTCATCATTGCTCGTGAACTTGCACCTAATTAACTCCCTGTCGTTCACTTGCTACCTTGATGTAAAAAAATTAATTTTGACTGTGAAGTTATTTGAAGAGCCATTGTAACCAGTAGATTGACCCTCTTTTGTAGTATTTGAGAATGTGCACCTTCGAGAAGGAAATTCTTATTATGGAATTCGAAATGGTTCGGATAATATAGTATTTTAAAAGACAGTAAGATAAGTAAACATACATATTTATTTGAAAACATATCTTACCAACTGAAAACCGAAAGCTAATGGAAGTGAGGAAATTATTTCAATACAAAATTTAAGTAAAATTGCATTGTACGCTAAGAGCTCAAAGAATGTTTTCACATCAGCAAGACTGTAACTAATGAAAAGAGCGACGGTAAGTTAAAAGATGGATCTTGACCCACTGCAGACTCCGAAGACAATAAAGTTCTACTCTAGACTCCAGACGAACTACAAAGAATCTGCAGCAAATCTCGCGAATCCAAGGTACACCTTCGCTATAGTCAAATTAACTGAGCACAGGAAGTGGCTACAATAGAGCCGTGTGTAGATGCAGCTCAAACCTCGACTCCATTAAAATTCAACACCTTCTGGAGTAGCAAGAATCTGAAAGAAGTGAGATTAAATCGTGCAAGTACGAGACCATATACGGATAATAGTCCTGTTCCGTGTCCTGGAACACTCCAGCCTGGAATCCAGGCTGCTGTCTCATGCAGTCATGAACTCGATGGTTCCTTTTAACGTTAAAGACTCTTATACGGCTAGATAGGTTAAAAAAAAACGATTTTTTGAGGATGAATCTGTGTCAATCTTTTCGTTAGGAATGTTATGAAAAAATGTATAAAAATCATTACATGCAATGGCAAATAAAATCAGGAAATTGATGGACGCAAAACTTTAAACACGGTCTTCTAGGAACAGTGTTTTTTAAGATACTACCGAGAATTCTCAAGGACAGACGAACCAATTTAGATGAAATTTACTTCACTTTCGATACAAAATGCTTATCTAATACATTTTATAGAACCTTTCG